TTTTTTTTTTTTTATGAGGATGGGCTCTGGAGGGAGATTATCAGGATCTGACTGTACCAGCCCCAGCTGTGAAATCTTGAAGTGACTTCTGTTTGAGTTCACTTTTCTTGTCTGCGAGGTGAGGGCAATGATAGGTCTGTCTGTGCTCATGTGATAATTGGGCTTGTAGAACAGTTCATACAGTGCCTAACAGAGTGATCTTTTATCAGTGTTTACCATCATTATATATTGTGGTTAATAGCATTAAAAATAATAACATTTGTATTCTGTAGGTCATAGGATTTGTTTTGACATTCAAAATTGAGTTTTTGTCTGTAGTGCATCTACTATAATGTCTTACTGCTTTATAAAGATTTGTTCCTTTGCCTTATAGAGAGTGGTGGCATGAAGCTCAACAAAATAAGAAGATAAGACCTAATCCTTATGACACCAAGGTGAAAAAAAAGTTACGGAAATTGCAACTCACACCTGGCTTTCCTAACCCAGCCGTTGCAGATGCTTACCTCAAACCTGTGGTGGATGACTCCAGGGGATCGTTTCTGTGGGGGAAACCCGATCTTGACAAAATTAGAGAATATCCTTTTACTTAAAGCATAAAGAAACATTGAGCCAAATTCGTGTTTCGTTTAAAAGTTATGAAATATGAACTTGGATTTTCCAAATATTCCATTTGTCTAAGTCACCCCTTTTAGTTCCTTTCTCTTTTTTTAATGATAAAATGCACATAACATACTATTACCCATTTTATGTGTACAATTCAGTGATATTAAAACATTCACATTGTTGTACAACCATCAGCACCATCCATCCCCATAACTCTTTTCATCTTGTAGAACTGAAACTTTATATCCATTAAACCATAATTCCCCATACTCCCTGTCCCTAATCCCTGACCATTACCATTTTACATTCTCTCTCTATGATTTTGACTATTTTAAGTACCTCATATAAGAGTAATCATACAGGATTTGTCTTTTGTGACTGGCTTATTTCCCTGAGCACAATGTCCTCAAGGTTCATCCATGTCGTAGCATGTATCAGAATTTCCTTTCTTTTGGAGGCTGAATAATACTCTTTTGGACACTTGGGTAGCATCCACATTTTAGCTATTGTGAATAATATCCTTAGTTTTAAAGAGGATCTTTTTTGAAATAAGTGATAGAATTCATAGATATAACAACATGAAAGAATGGAAAGATAATTTTTTTTATTACTGATGTTCTTTCGTATTCAAAAAGTCATTTGATTAGATGTTTTAAAGTTTGGAGTAGAGTTAATCTAACTACAGTTTTTTTCTTTCAAAGAAATATGTATGATATCTGCAAATTGTTTTTATTCTGTGTTGACCTTTTTTCATAGTCATGAGTGTCTGATGTCCAAATGAGAGTTGGATAATTTTTCTCTTAGAGGATATTGAAAAGAACATAGTGCCAGATGATTATGTTCAAGTAATTTGTTTTGTTACTCCTTTTCCCACTTCTAATCTTTATAAATATGAGAATCTTTGGAGCTATGGGAAATGGAATCAAGGATGGATTTTTGGGCCTTTTTATTTATTACTTGTTTAAATATCTTTAGAAATGTGTATGTGTCTTAACTGCTTGCATATTTTGTCAGCGGTATTTTGGCTGGAACAGGACAAAGACAGATGAGTCTCTGTTTCCAGTATTAAAGCAACTGAACGCCCAGCAGGTAATCGTGATGGCTCTTTTCCCAAGTTCAGGATAAAGAGTTACTCTTTTATATTAGGGCTGTAACATACATTTTTTAAATGATTAAATGAAACAGGAGAAAACAAAAAAAGAAAAATTGGACTTTGTCTTCATTTTCTAATGTCACCTTTAGGGCCTGTATGCTCTTCATTCATTCTTTCTTTGAAAAAAAACAAAACAGTCTTATGATGGATTGTACACTGAGGTGTTTATAATTATTTTATCCTTTTAGAGCTATTTTTACTTTTAACAAGTCTAGGAAGTGTCCAGTCCAAACTAATTCTGATCATTAATGGCTTAACCCTCTTTAATTCTACGGAGGAATCATCAAAAGTAGAAGTTCAGTCATTATAGTATATTGACAGGAGAGATGTGTGAGGACAGAAGAGGACTTTGTGTGGTCCTCAGTTCCCCTGTGTAGGTAACTGTGCCTTGTTTTATACATGAGGATGTTCCTACCCATACAGAAACCTTCTCCCTCCCCAGAAAAAACACACAAAACATACATCTAAGTAAACCATCAATGTAGAAATGAGGCCATATCCTGTAAGAAATACGTTTAAGTGAAATCCTTTTCCATTAGGTCAGTTAATTTTGAAAAAGCATAAAACTGATACATTTCCAGAAAGCAATTCCCATTTTTTGATTACCTTCTGTACTGGGAATATTGTACACCAGCAGACAAAGGAGCCTAGTTGGATTAGTGACTGATTACTATTCCCTAGTTTAAGATAAATTTTGTTGTAATATGTTTTCCTCCTTTCATTGTAGAAGTTAATATAAGTTTATATCCCCAAAATTAGAAAGTAAAAATATATGAATTAAAATTACTTATATACTTCTAATATAGATGTTAACATTTATTGTTTTTTAAAATTTTCCTCATCTTCCTACATATATTTATCATACATAAATGCAATTTAATATATCTAACCCCCACCTATTTATGTAAGATTTTTTTTCTGTGTATTGCATAATTTTCATAATTTCAAATCACCAGATTACATTTTATCAGGGATTTAACTTCACTGATTCTGTTCACTTAGTGGACCTTTAATTTTCAGGTTTTCATAAATAATGTTGTTATGCACATTAGGCATAAAACTTTCCCAAATGTAACTTTTTAAAGAGTGTCTTCCTAAAAGTGAACTTGATGAACAAAAGGCATGAATATGCTTATGACTCTTAATATATAATACTGTGAATTTGCCTCCTAAAACTTTTGTATGGTGATAATATTTTTAAAAGAAGGAGATAGTGGAATTTAGGAACAGATACCATGAAATTTTGTTCCTCCAAAAGAAGATGATATATTTGGCTATTGTAAAATATTTAACTTTCTTTGAGTGCCTAGGAAGGGATTTCTTATTTGACATGTGGACAGGAGTTAGTTGACAGAGGTGATGCAAGTACTACATTAAATATGATCTGGAAAGTAAAATTTACTGTTAGTGATTCACTTGGGAGAGAACTGGCATTTGAGAGACAATGAATTAGTGTTCTCTGAAGGGTCATTTAATGCTAGTGATCAAAGTGGGACTCTCAGATTTGCCTTAGAAACTTTACTTATCTGATTTATTATTATTTTATTTTATTTTTTAGACCCAGCTCCGAATTGATTCTTTCTTTAGATTAGCTCAACAGGAGAAACAAGATGCTAAGGGTATTAAGAGCCAGAGACTTAGCAGAGCTGTGACATGTATGCTGAGAAAAGAAAGAGAAGAAGCCAGTGAAATAGAAGCAGTTTCTGTTGCCATGGAGAAAGAATTTGAGTTCCCTGATAAGGCAAAAGGTAAGACCCAGAAGAGAAGCATAGCAAATAAATGGAAAGAGTCGTCAAGCCTGAAAAGAACGAGGCTTTCCGATTCTAAACCGGAGAGTAAATGTGGTGGGTTTTTGGAGGAAGCCTACCTCTCACAAGCATCTGGTGCATCCTCAAGTGAGGATGCAGAGTGTTCATCTTTAATGAGCATGCAGCAGGGAAAAGCAGCTGGAGAGACAAAAATCAGGTCTTCAGATTTGCAGAACACAGTGAAACCTGATCCTGTAAGGGATGAAGGTGCCACTACAAGCAGCTCTAGTGACGATGATAGAGGGAAAACAAAACCAGTCCTGGTGACTGCCAGATCTGTGTTTGGGAGCAAGAGGAAACTGAGAAGCACAAGAAGAAGGAAGAGAAAAACCTAGTTTAACATGTGTTCTCTGTAATTGGGCACAACTTACACTGTGTAAGAAATTTGTTGTGAGGAAATAATAAAATTAAATATATCTGCACAGTCTTTGTATTTAGTGTGTGGTTTTAAAAAATCTGAATGCTTACCTTGGCGTGTATTCCTTTTTCAATATGTTACATTTTTCTAGTGTTTTTTTACCTCATTGAATATTTCCGTGTATTCACAGGCTTTGTTCATGTTTCTGTTGTCACACAATGTCTGTTGCTTTCTGATGACATTAGAAAAAAGGAAAAAGGATTTATATTGATTAGCACTCACTCTCAACACACATCCCTCTGACTTTCCAACCTAGATGAGGGAAAAATATCCTTATTTCTCATTTCACAACAGGGCAGTTATACCAGCTACATAAAGTCTTGTCATTCACTGCTTCCCACTTCCCTCAGGGTCCACTTAAAAGGATAGCAGGAGGGCACCTCACTGCTGCAGCATACTTGACGAGTGTGTCCGCTGTGATCAGGAAATGTAAATGGGGTGCATGATTCTACCTGTGAGCATTAATTCTATGGGAACCTCTGTACCGTCATGTTCTGCTTGTAAAGTACTTTGGTTGTCCCAAGCTGACTTCTGTGTAATGTGTCTGGAGGAGTGGGGGGCTTGGGGACAGGGCTCAGCACTGTAGTTGAATCAGTGTAGGTGGGTTAACTTTATGAGTGGCTTCCAGAGGTTTATTATTAACAGAGCGGCCCAGTCAAGGTTAGTTTGTGATTCCTCCTGCTGAGACCTCTCACAATAAAAACTCCCAAAGTTCTGGATGCTTAGCATTAAGAACAATTTGAGGATAGTGTTACCAATTACTCTGAGCTTGGGTTCTTTGGCCATTGGCTTCTCTCTTCACAAGTCTGTGTCATTTCCGGCATTATGGCATTTCCATCTTTCCTGATTTCCTTCCCTCAGTCTTCAAATAGCTGAAAATCTTCACCAATGAAAACCAAATACAAATGAATCCCTTCCCTTTCAACAATCTTTGAGTGACTCCTGGTTGCATTCTATAGGCTCTCATTTGTATTTACTTTTGAGCCCCACTCCCCAAATATTCGGACTATAGCTGCTGTTTTTCTTTGCTCGTTATTTTCTCCTTTCTAATTTGAAATATGTCTTCTGCTTCTGTCAGTCTTCTCTAGGAGCCTTCTTCTAAAGTCAACAGTAACTTCCATGTAAGTAAACTCTCAAGTCTTTTCTTAATGTTTCTTTTCTCTAGAGGTATTTGAAGTAGAACACTTTTGGGGGTGAGGGGGAAATTAACTTTTTTATATTCTCATTTCTCAGAGCTACTTATTAATGGGGAGTTTTCCACATATGTTTGTAGGTAGGATAATAGTTTTTGGGTTTTTTAAAAATATGTCTATTGATTTCAGAGAGGGAAAGGGAGAAGGAGGGAGAGAGAGAGAGATAGAAACATCAGTGCTGAGAGAGTCATTGATGGGCTGCCTCCTGCATACCCCCTACGGGGGATCTAGCCTTCAACGAGGGCATGTGCCCTGACCGGGAATCAAACTACTATCTCCTGGGTCATAGGTCGATGCTCAACTGCTGAGCAATGCTGGCCGGGCAGTAGAAGAATAGTTTTGCTAAAAAAAATAATTTTGTTTTCTTTGATCGATAATTTACATTTGTTTTGCACTGTAATAGCTGACATGAAGGATATACCGTGGCCTGAATAAGCAGAAACGTTATTTATCTCTGACTCAGTTGTCTGGCTCATCTGAGCTGGTAATGCAGTGTGGACTACGAGTCACTCAGGTCTCAGGTTCAGCCACTACCTAGACTACTGTCTTACTTGAGTGGTCTATACTGGGTCACTGTTAGATCTGCATGTCTACCTCCTGGAAGAGGAAAGAACCAGAGTCTAGGGCAAGCAGAATGTCTTATGTTGAAGGTGGTAGAAAAATCGCTTTTACTCCCATTCACGAACTGATCATAATCAGAATATACTAGAAATACTAAAAAATGTCATTTCTACCTGGGCCATGTACCCAGGAAGGGGGCGGGGGAGCGATATGCAGGACTGTTAGTAGCTTATGCCATATGTACAGTAATTATAGAACAGTTTAATATTCTGTCTTTTTTTCTCTTAACCCTGTGACCAAGGCATATCCATTTACAAGGGAAGAACCCATTTTATAGATGTTAACCAGCTTTACCAAATTCACCATCTAGTATGAAAATGTTGTAGTCTGAACCCAAATCTTCTAACTTGAAATTCAAGGTGTTGTTTTACCTATAAAATAAATTGCCTGTTTAAAACAAACAGCAGTGTCGTTATTCAAATCAAGTTGGTATGCCTATAACTTACTTAGGATGATGCCCGTCGTATACAGTTTTTACAAAATTATCTTTTAGTTCATTAGTATTGTTACTAGTTTTCTCTACATTTGCTGTTAAAGAGCTCATCTATTGCGCACTTTATTTCATTTATTGTATTTTTCATTTCTGTTTGACTCATTTTTATAGATTCCAGTTTTCTGATGTAATTCTTTTTTCTTAATTGTTGAAAGTATTATAAATGTCCCCCTTTTTTATCCCCATTGATCCCCTCTACCTGGCATCCACCCCCGCCCCACCCCCAGGTCTTCTCCACACTATTGTCTGTGTCCATAGGTCATGTATATATGCATTGAAGTTCTTCGACTAATCTCCCCCCACTACCCACCCCCACCTTCCCTCTGAAATTTGTCCGACTGCTCTATGGTTCTATCTCTCTGTATCTCTGTATCTGTCTTCTTCATCAATTTATTTTGTTCATTAGATTCCATATATGAGTGAGATCATGTTCTGATGTAATTCTTGTCATCAATTTTTGAACATTTTTTTTTAAATATATCTTTATTGATTTCAGAGAGAGGAAAGGAGAGGGAGAGAAAGAGATAGAAACATCAATGATGAGAGAGTCATTTATTGAGCCCACAACCCAGGCATGTGCCCTGACCAGAAATCCAACCCCGATCGCCTGGATCCTAGGTCGACGCTCAACCACTGAGCCACGCCCGGCCGGGCAATTTTTGAACATTTTAATCACCGTTACTTTGAAGTCTGTATCAAACAACTCCAATATCTGGGTTACCTCTGGGTTTCTACTGTCTCTTTCTTGGTATGGCTTGTAAATTTGGACTGAATGCTGGACATTGTATATTAAAACTTATAGATGATCTGGATCTTCCTCTAGAGAGGATTCCAGAAGGTATTCTGGCAGGCAGCAGAGGGTAAGAGCACCTCACTCTGATCTGAACTGAGTGAATTCAAGACTGGTTTGCAGTCCTTGTAAGGCTCCATCTTCTACTTCCCCACCCCCATTTCTTAAAAAGTAGTTTTTCAGGGGTACCAACTGACAGCTAGGTGTTTCTTTTGAGCTTTGCTTTGCTTTTACCCACTTTATGCTTAGGAAATTTGCCTCTTGCCCTAAACATCTTACTGAGCAAATATCTCGAATATCATGAGTGACATGTCAGGCTTAGTTCTCTATCCCTTTCTGGGATCATGGACCCCCAATTCCTGGCTGCCTTGCCAGCTCCAAACACTTCTTTTGTCTTCCCAGTTCTGTGTGATTGCCTTAAGTCTGCTGCCATCCTTCCATGTTGTCCTGTCTTTGGCGTCTGAGCCTCTTTAGACCTATAATCAGCAAAAGTATGAAATTGTCTGTCTTAGTAGCTCTCTTATACCTTCTGCTGTGTGTGTGTGTGTGTGTGTGTGTGTGTGTGTGTGTGTGTGTGTGTGTGTGTGTGTGTGTGTGTGTGTGTGTGTGTGAGAGAGAGAGAGAGCTGTCTCTTATACACATCTAGATGTGTATAAGAGACAGNGTGTGTGTGTGTGTGTGTGTGTGTGTGTGTGTGTGTGTGTGTGTGTGTGTGTGTGTGTGTGTGTGTGTGAGAGAGAGAGAGAGAGAGAGAGAGAGAGAGAGAGAGAGAATTTAAAATCTTTTCTAATTCTCAATATAAGCAGAGCTATAAGATCCATAAAGCTGGAGGCAGAAGTCTCTATGTAAAGTATACAAAGAATTCATACAACTCAACAAGAGGAAGACAAACAATCCAATTAAAAATGGGCAAAGGACCTGAATAGACACTTCTCCAAAGAGGACATATAGGTGGCCCAGACATGAAAAAAGGCTCAATGCCGCTAATCATCAGAGAGATGCAAATTAAAACCACAATGAGGTATCACTTCACACCTGTCAGAATGGCTACCATCAACAAATCAACAAATGACAGGTGCTGGCGAGGATGTGGAGAAAAGGGAACCCTAGTACACTGCTGGTGGGAATGCAGACTGGTGCAGCCACTATGGAAAACAGTATGGAAGTTCCTCAGAAAATTAAATATGGAGCTGCCTTTTGACCCAGTGATCCCACTCCTAGGAATATATCTTAACAATCCTGAAACACTAATCAGAATATATGCACCACTGTGTTCATAGCAGCGTAATTTACAGTAGCTAAGATCTGGAAGCAGCCCAAGTGCCCATCAGTAGATGAGTGGATAAAAAAGCTGTGGGACATTTACACCATGGAATACTATGCAGCTGTAAAGAAGAAGGATCTTGTACCCTTTGGGACAGTATGGATGGACCTGGAGAAAATTATGCTAAGCAAAATAAACCAGGCAGAGAAAGACAAACATCACATGTTCTCATATGTGAAATCTAAACACAGTAACCTGATGAACAAAATAGATTCAGTGACAAAGCAGCATCGAACAGACTGACAAATCTCAGAGGGATGGTGGGGGTGGGTGGGGAGAGATTAACCAAAGAACTTACATGCATATATGCATAACTCATGGACACAGACAATAATGTGGTGGAGGCCTGGGGTGGGGAGTGGGTGTGGGGTGAAAGGGGTCAACGGAGGAGAAAAGGGACATCTGTAATATTTTGAACAATAAAAAACAAAAAACAAAAAAAAACACGTACAAAACAAATCAAAGGAAACTTAAAAAACACACACCCAGTACAATATAATTAATCATTATCATGGCAGTTTAGATCACTGATTTTCAACTGGTGTGCCACAAGAATTTTTAAAACATGCTATACCTGACTAGTCTGGGGCACTGACCTCTTTTTTCTTAGATTGTCAGGTAAAAAAATGATGACAGCCAACATAATAGCCATCCAGTGTGAATGAATAAAAATTATACTTTTTTGTCAGATGGGTAAAAATATTTTTTGCTGTGCTGCAGAATTTTAGTAATTAGTTTATGTGTGCCATGAGATGAAAAAGGTTGAAAATAACTGGTTTAGATGATTGGTTTAGGGATTCTGCCTCCTAAGAAGTCCAGTAGTGAGGTTTCATAATCCTTTAAATATTTCCTTGAAAAAGGCAGGTAAGTGATTTTTATTCACCAAATGAGTCTTTATTCTTGTTTTAAAAAAGAGCCAGAGCCCAAGGACACGGACAATGGTGGGGAGAGGGACTGAGGAGGGGGATGGGACAGGGTGGAATGGGTCATTGGGGAGAAAAAGGGACATATGTAATATTTTAAACAAAAATAAAATTTAAAAAAAGCCAGAGAGTGTCCTCTGCCTAGAATTAACTAGGTATGAATAAATTTTATTTCTTTAGGATTTTACAGTTTGCAGAATGTTTTTTACCTGCCATATTCATCTCATAAATATATATTTTATTCCTTTTATAACCCTGTTTTATAGATGAGGAAGCCAAGAAGCACATTAAATAAATGTTTAAAACCACAAGTTGATTACTGACAGGAATAACTGAAATTGGGCTCCCAGACCACTAGTCCTGTCCAATATAGTAATGTGACTGCAGCTCAAGTTTGTATACATTATGATATGCAAAATATTTTTTAGGCGCTGTAATCACACTCCTAGGTTTATTTAACTTTACAACATTGCTTGATTTTGTTACCTATAATAGCTTACTATGAAGGATAACTTCATTAAGACTAGAACTGCCATATGATGAAATAAGTCAGATGGAAGAGGGGAAAAAAGTATGATTTCACTCATGGAATATCAAACAAAAAGAGGCAAGTGAACTAACAAAATAAATAGAAACAAACTCAGAGACAACAGAATGGTGGTTGCCAGAGAGGAAAGGGGCTTGAGGTGCAGAGCAAAGGGGGTAAAGGAGGTGAAATGTATCGCAACAGGAGGAAGTGACTTCGGGTGGTGAGCATGCAATGGAGGGCACAGATGTTGAATTACAATGTACACCTGAAAATTATATTATTAACCAATGTTACCCCAAAAATTTAATTTTAAAGAGATTTTCAGTGAACAGGGACATTTATATGTACTCTTAGATGCTACTCTGCATGTACATGTGCAGGTGCGCAGGTGGATAGAACCCTCAGCTTTCCTATTCTGAGCAGGAAGGAATCCTGGTAATTGGATTCCTGTGTCCAGAGCACAGCTGCACACATTCAAAAACATTCTGGTGTGGCTGTTTGATTCTAAAAATGATGCTTACACCCAGACAGGTGACATGAAAAATGAGTGGCCTCCGTCTCTCAGAATGTCACAACTGAAGAGGCTTAAATAACTCTTGGCATCAAAATTTAAAAATGGATCGTTTCACCCAAATAATCTTCAGTCACTTGCAGGAGTGGTTTACATTCATTCACCTATTAACTGTAGCTGTGTTCATGAGACACTCACATGGAATATTCCTACTATTCTTCAGGCCCCTTATTCACGGGTGTTCCAACCTCGTTGCTGTATAACCGGAGACTGAGCTGCAGCTGTCAGGATCCTAATTCCTTCTGCGAGGACTCAAGGACTTGTTGCCAGTGCGTACAGTAGCAAACTGCATGCTTTGGTGCTGGCTTTTCAGGCACCATCAGAGGTCTCATCAGCAAAACAAAAGTTGTGGATGATACTTTTTAACCTACCAGAAATTCAGCTAACTCGATTAGGTATGTCCAGACTTAACATTTAGTATATGTTGACCTTCAGACAGATACGTATAATAAAGACTGCTTTCTATAATGGAAGAGAAACTAAACTGGGAACAGAATGTGTGACCACTTTTACTATTGTTTAGCCATGTGACCTCAGGAATGTAATTTAACCTTTGGTTTTTCCTTATTTGTAAACTGTAGGGAAAATAATTTGTCTTCTAACTTACTGTAGAGAAAAATGTGGTGGCTGTGAAACATGTTTTGGGAGCCTTGACAGAAAGGAGTGCTATTTAAATTCATGGTAGTACAGTGATTATTATATGACTCAAAATTGAGATATAAGACATCAAATTGTTGCTTTCCAAAGTTGAAATAATAGTTTGTTTAAGCTTATTCACATGATATGCTCTATTTGAGAGGCATGAAATACTTTACTTTCTTCAGTTTTACTTTGCTGAGATGGTATGGATTCTTTAAATTAGAAGCTACTCAAAAGACCATTTGGCAGTTGGGCTATTTGACGTTGGGTACGTGCCAATGACACATTGATGAGAACAAGGTGAACTTTGAATTTATTGCCATGTAGGAAGATTTATTTTAAATTAATACTATGGTTTTTACTACATTGAATGGAACCCATTTTCTCCCAATGCTTTAATTACCTTTTAGGATTGCTATATAACTAGTCAATGTAAAGATGTTTTTCTTGTGATAGCTGAGCTAGTCTCTGGTGAGGAATGTGTTTTCTTTCTCCAGTAGCTTCTAAAATGTCTGACTCTGAAGACTTTGTTCAAATTTTGTCTTGTATTAGATAGATTGTGTTTCCATGGTATTCCTTAAAGCATGATGTATTAATATATGATTTTAATATCATTTTCCTCTATATTTGAAGTTAAACTTCATTATGTAAACATAAAAGCACTAAACACATTTTGAATTAATTGCTACCATTTGCTATTTTAATGTATTATTTGCCTAGTTTTCAAGCAATGATCAAGAAAACATCAATATATAGTCATCCATTAGTTCATCACTTAATGGACCCAGAAGCTCAAAAAGGTAAATCATTTTATGTTCCTTTATGTAATTTGACTAATTGTAAGATGACAAACAATTAACAGAATATAGAACTTTACCTTTTTGGTGTTCATTAATGTTTTAAATGGAACTAGGACTTTTATCAATTGCATATTATTATCTAGGTTTGTGTTTCCTAACCTGTAAATATCTCTAAGAATGTTTAATGTTTCCTGCTATACCTATGGTCCTGATGATATGTTAGACATAATGTTGAAGACAATAAATTATAGACTTGCTAAATATTTTTTAATTTGCAAAAGTGGAATAATTCTTTTCCCAAGTGCTGTACACATAATTGTGATCTCTGAGTTATTTCATTTCAGATAAGAAGATTGTAAGAGAGGTAAAAAGTCTTATGTAAAACTGCATGTTTTTACTAATGCTTTAATGAAAGATTATTTTAGACTATAAAAACATTTCCAGCCTTTGTTTATGGTTCCTCTGATGTATTAGGTAAAGGCAAATATATAATGTAATTGGCCTCTTGGTGAAAGGGTAATTTAAGTTTGAATTCTACTACCAGTGTAGTTATTTGAAATGGACCCACCATTTTTACATCATCTTAAATAATGTGACTTTGCCCGGATTATGTAATATAACTGTCCCCATTATTTTGAGATAAAAAGTGCAGACATACACTCTTGACATAGACTAGAAGAATTATTAACATGTTTTTGTAGTATAAATTTTATTATTTTGGCTTCTTTCTCTCTCTCCTTTATCTACACACTGTGGATGTTTTCTAAGAACTACAGTCCTATTTTTTCTTCTTTCAGGCATACCAGGTGGCCTTTACCTAGGTGAGCATATTTCTAGGCCACAAGAGCTGGGTGTATGCCCAGTGTTGGCAGCCCATGTGGCTTAAACACTAATGGTTTTACCGTAGTGGTTTTTGCAAACCTAAACATGTAAAGTTGTAATCACTTACATTTAGATGATTTGAATGAAGAAGCAATTTCTGTGCAGTTTACGAATACAATTACATCATCATCAACAACACTTGGTATCGACTGTGTGTACGATAATTTGGCAAATTACGAAGGAAACGAAGGAAGTTCAAGGTAAGGTTGAGACAGAACTAGTATTAAAATATTTTACAATATGAACAATCACACCCCATAATCATCTATATAGCCAAGTAAAACTTTAAAAACATGTTCACAGCACAGTCTAAGGGGATTAAGTGTCTGTTATGGGGGTAGAGTCAGAGGGCATTTTGTTGGAAAGACTTCCACTAACCAGAGGAACACTCAGTTCTCAAGTACTAACGGGTGTTGACTTGTCCTGTCCTAACTCTTTTATACTTAGTATCTTGTGCTTGGAAAGGATGGAGCAAACCCACAGCCCAGTTCTTCTATTTCAACATTGGCCTGAAGATCCTAGAATTACAAAATGTCACTTAGTTATAGCACACAGATTAAAGTTAGGGCTATGGTGGATGCTAAAAACTCCTCTGTCTATGGTTTCTAACACTAGATTATAATCTAAGCTGTTTAAAACATAATCCACATTCTTCCAAATATCTTATGTTGTCTACCTCTTGCCAAAAGCCACATCTCCAGTTGTTAGCACTTGTAGCAATGTGTTATAAACTAGTGGTGTGTTCTTTAGGATCTGCACTCTTGGAGCAGGCTCATCCTAACCCAACGCTCAGTGGTTCCTGTGCACAATAACTCCTAAATTCTCTCCACCCACCCTGCCCCCAGCACTTACTTGACATCCTACATACTGCCTTGTGTCAGTTTGGCTCCTTCAAGAAAACATGCAAAAATGGGATTAAATGTGCAAGGAATTTAATGGGGGAAATGTCTGTGGGGGAAATGTCTGTGGAGGGGGAAATGTCTGTCCAAGTAATCAGGGAGACCTTCAGGTCATGACTTGGGTCTGACACCTGTGAGGAGAGCGAGAACAGGCTAGGTAGGAAGAGCCTCAGACTGCAACATAGTTCTGAGAAAGTCTCTGACAGGCGGATGGGAGTCCCTGAGCAAAAGTTGCTCACTAGAGGAGTGTCCTCTATGGAACAGCAATTGGCCGGCTTTAGTAGGCAGCCCTAGGGGGCAACATGGCCTCTGAGGAGCCAAAGGGGCAGCAGCTGGCACTATTGGGCAGTTATCCTCCCCATAGCAGGTTCTCTCTCTCTCTGTTGTTTCACTTATTTATGCATTCTTTGGTTGATTCTCATATGTGCCCTGACCACAGATCCAACCCACAACCTTGGTGTATTGGGACAATGCTCTTACCAACTATGCTACCTGGCCAGGGTGTGAGTAGGTTCTCTTAATCTGAGCTGTACACCTTTGTGGCTGGCACTTCATGCCACATTTTTTAAAAATACGCATTAAAAATTATTTTTCTTTGCCAATTTGCCTCTCCACCTATATTTTCTGTCTCAGTTTATGGCAATGCCATTTCGCTGGCTACCCAGAAACCTGGAATCATTCCAGTATTTCCCCTTTCCTCACGCCCTTCATTAAATCCCGTTGGTTTTACCTCATCATATGTTTTCCTACCCCTCACCACCTGTGTGCAGCCTCAGCCTTGATGCAGGTCTGTATTATTGCTGCTCTTGATGATTACAACTGCCTTCGAAAAGGCCGCCCCACCCTGGGCTAGCTCCCTTTCTTTATTCTCTCTAGTTCTTTCTCCATAGCTTACATGATCTTTTAAAAAATTTAAACCTTGCCACGTTCACCTTCTGTTTAAAATTATTCAGTGTTTCGATATTTCTTGTAGGATAAAGTCAAGACTTCTTAGCATGACATAAAGTGTTTTATCTCATGGTACTACCACAACTTATCCTACATTCTAGTTCTCAGAGTTTCACAAATTGGAAAATTGGTCAGGAGTCTGCTTGCCAGTGGGCTTTTGTGCATGTTTCCTATGTATGGCAGATACTGCCCTCTCTTATATGACTCACAAAGTCATCATCTTCAAGGCTCTGGTCATTCTTTCTTGAGTCCTCTGAGACATGGAACTTTCTATTTTTGAATTAAGTTTCTGTTATAGCACTTATATGCTGCTCTATCTTTGTGTTCATAGTGCCAAAGTACTCAATACCTTGAATTAATGAATTAGTAAATTAGATAATAATGGAAGCCTATTGGCTGGACTTAAAATTTGCTCGTTAGTGATGATCTTGTCTTCTTGGTCACCAGTCAGTTTAGTCCTTTCAGGACCAAGTATAATATATTACTTAGTGATATCACATGAAAATCTTTCACAAGGATCTTCATAAATCTTTAATAGAGCTGGATTAATGGGTAATATGGCTTTAGGAGCAATATTGCCTTAACATGCAAAGAAGAATGTTTACTTGAGTAATTTATTGCTATTTAAGAAACACAACAAACTATAATCTGAAGCAGTATGTTTAATATACTAGTTAAAGCACCATAACACATATAATTAGTAAAGTGAGAATCATTCATCAACACATTTTACATGTTTTAAAAGTAACCTGAATAAAGTATATGCTAAATAAAACTAATAAATTTTCCACATATTGAATAAAAATAACGTAAATATAACAATCTGTCTTGGATGTCTTCAAATGTAAGGTTTAAATGTCAAGTCTGGTAGGTCTACTGCTATTTTATTTTATTTATTTATTTTAAACATATCTTTATTGATTTCAGAGAGAGGAAAGGAGAGGGACAGAGAGAGACAGAAACATCAATGATGAGAGAGTCATTGATTGAGCCCACAACCCAGGCATGTGCCCTGACCAGGAATCGAACCCCAATCGCCTGGATCCTGGGTCGATGCTCAACCTCTGAGCCACGCCTCACCAGGTGGCCTACTGCTATTTTAAAAGCTTACAAATTCATACTTGGCTCCTAGACCCAGTGCTGCTGCTTCAGTTCAGACTCTTTCATATTTTGTCTATATTGTATCAGTCTTCTAATTAGCTTCTAACTTAGCCTTTAGCTGCTGCTCCCACACGTAAGTTTTTAAATATCAAATTTGATCATGTTATTTTTTGTTCTAATGATCTTTATTGATTCCTCCTAACCATATAAAACAAAGGTAAACATTGCCCATAGATATGATCTCAACCTGCTTCTTCAGGCTTATTTTCTACAACATCCCAACATGCACCAGTGCCCAGATGACTGATGGCTCTTTAAGCCTGTCTTCAGCCTTGGTGGATGTTTCATCTTCCTTGGCTTTGCTTCCTCCCTTCTCTGCCTAGCAGTCTTTCTCATCCCTCTAATTTAGTGCGAACATCTCTTGAGAATGCTTCTCCTAATCTGACTGACCAGTGATGCTTACCATAGCACTTTAGAAATAATTCTTTTATTGCACTTACCTGGCATTTGTTTATACCTCTTCCCACTATGATCCCAGCAGCAAACTCTGAGTTCAACTAATTTCCCCCCCCAATTTCATACTGAGGAGGCTCAGTAAAAGCTGAATTTTCTTTCTTCTTGAATGTAATATTATTTGAACCACTTGATTAAAATTTTAGCCTCTGTACATTCTTGAAATTAAGCAGATATCTACGCAAAAAAAGTTTATGAGATCTCAGGAATTCGTTTCAACATAAGAACTCAAGACCTTGACATACTGAGGCACTCAGAATTCTATCTTTCAGGTTTGCTCGTGACCATTTACTAATCTGAAAATACCTTTAGCATCTTTTTTCTTTTTAGTCTCTATCTAGATGTTTCTTAAGAAGTGATGACATTCAATTTTGAATAGAAGATTCAACTGAATGACAGTCTCTTTCATTTAGTTGAGGGGTTTTTACTTTAAATTTTGCTGACAGGTTTTCATGACAGTCCTCTAATGGAAGCTTAAATTCACTTGTCATAGCTATTAAGGATTTTTTTTTTTTTTTTGGTATATTTCTGTGATCTGACCCTTCCACTTATTATTGTTGTTACTGACCTTAAAAGGATAGAAGAGAAGAATACAGATGAGCCTGTATTTTCAAAGGCTTGCTGCAGTCCAGCCTTGGAAGTCAATTCCCTGTTGCATTTTCCTCTTAAGAAAATCACCATCATAATGTGGCAAAATCTTGCTAATCTTCACTTCATAATTTTTTCTCAGGAGAACAAGAGCACCTGGTAGATTTTGTTCACTATCAGCAAGGATTTTGCAGCAGGAAATGGTGTTAAGATGTTCAAAAAGCATTAAAATAGATAAGCTCAAGATAGAAACATAGTTGTAATACTGTCTTGATTATTTTATTTACAATCTGTTTTAACATTTATGTTTTAATATTAAATTCATTAATAAAATAATACTCTAAGATTATAGTAGATAGCTTTTATCTAAAGGTACAGATATCAGGGTTTTTCTGCTTTTCGTATAAGAAAGCCAAGGTTCATCATTTTGTGTAGCATGAACTGATTTTAGTTACTTGTCCTGGGGCATGAGTGCTAGATAACAAAGAGAGAATGTGTGGAAAAATTATTTTTCAGAAATGTAAATTAAATTTCATCGCATGATAATGCTGTTAACTTTTTGAGACAATTCATCTTCAAATCATAACTAAGAACCAAAGAATATCTACTCATTTATTAATCTTAACAAGATCCAATCCCATATTTGACAAATAGCTATGCATACACTTTGAGGGACACATTCTTTGTATATAATGTTTGGGGCATAGATTTCTCCCTTTTACTACAACAAAGCTACATTAGGGACACACTTATAACAGTGCAGCTCTTTTTATTAGATTCCAGTTCAGAGGTTCTTGTCCTCAAACTTGAAATGGGTGGTGATACTGTTAAAACTTAATATCAAACATGTCTTTCAGTTTAAACAAATGACTATTATTAAAATTATCTCAAAATCTTTCAGTAGAAGTTAATGCTGAAAAAAGCAGTCACAGTTTTAAGGTGGAAATAATTGTATGTGTGTATTTGCTTTTAAAATCTCACATATCTAGACAAATTATTTTAAGCAGCCATGTTTGGTAAATTTTGGCTTCTTGGTAAAATTATGTTAATTTTTATGAGTGTTACTTCTTATGGGATGACTGTGGTATTCATATAGTATTTAAATACAAAGAGATTATAGATATAAAACATTTTCAATTAAATCTTATTCAACATGATAATGTTTTCTATATAATATGTGGTCATCATAGGTGTATAACTAATTTTGAATTACCATATCTAATGGGTAAAATAGAGCTCTTTTAGAATGAATATGCAGTTAATAGTGGTTATTGTTTCATGAAATCTCTTTGAGGATCCTTTATTTTGGGGTATAAGTAATTTTCATTTATAATAATATATCCACACATATACTTCAAATCTCATTTCCTTATAAAGGTAACGATATGGTCATTCTTAAAAAGAAATAACTAGCTCTTTATTTAGAAACACAGTAAAAAACCAGAAATTATTTGTTATTACACTGTAGTTTTTAGAACAAAAACACTAATCTCACAACTAACCTTTAAAAAAGAAAGTGCAAAATCAGTTTGTAGCAGTAAAGTTTTTATATCAAAGACTGGAACTTTAGGAGATGCTCCTGGGATTTAGTGTACTCAAATATCTATTAATCCCTGATATCTTAGGTGACTTGTCAAAGAAGTGCTGCATTTACAAGGAGTTTGTGAGGAGGCCCAAGAGGGCATATTCAGCTAAAGGCCAAGGAAGCAATTAATGTTCTTTGCTTTTCCCTAAAGAACTTCCACAGCAAGCATTGCACCCCTACCCCATCTTAGCAGGCAAGTGAATATAGTGAAATGAAAGTTAAAGTTCAAATAAAACATAATACTGATATCATTTGGTTCTTATAGCTCTTCCTGAATGTGAGTGCATGCCATTGTTTAAAGAGAAAGATCGGTAAATATATTACAAGAGGGGGACTCTTGCTGAAGAATATCAATTTTTCATTTCTTTGTTTTCTCTGCATCTCTGCCAAGGGTCAATCGATGTTTGTGGTGCTGGTAGAGTAGGGTACTAGATCGGGTCTTTCCTGTGGCATGTAGTCAAGTTGGAATTCTTTTGGGGAATACTTGATTTTATATGGATCCTGAGCAGGACAGAATTTAGGACAGGAAATCATCTGTTAATTTCACAGGCTGACATGGGGTTCTTTTTCTGTGTTTCATTGTGCTTTCCTTTCACCTCGATTTTGAGAGTTGCCATATAGCATTGTGTTGTCTATTTGCATGTCTCTCTCTACATATCTGTCAGCTTCACCAGCACAAGGACTGTATCCTTGAATTTTTTCATTCTCAGTCACCAGACAGTGTGCAGGATTTAGTAAGTACTCAGTGAATACTTGTTGAATGAATAAATAAATGAATTTCTTAGCCTGTTATTTAGAACACATCTCTTAGGCCTGCTGATGAATCTAACTCCCTGTTCATCCACTTCCCTTCCAAAGTCTGATCTCCCCCCTGCCCCGTCTTCCTCCACTACTGGCTTCCTTTCGCCTACTTTTATTTTTTACTTTCCTACATTTCCTTAGCACATTGTATCTCTGTGATAGCACTTCTCCACATGATGGCATGTAGTTATTTTATTGAATCAGAAATTCCATGGCCCTTGTCCATCTGATATATCCCTAATACCTTGAAAGAATGGTCTTCTGGTTTCTGTTTGATAGCTTCTGGGGACTGATTACCTACTGCCTCTAAGATAAGTCATTTTATTTTTGAAAAGATGTGATTTTTAGAAAAATGTTAAAAATCTGCTTTATTGTAATTTTTCCCCCTTGGGTTCATATTCTGCTCTCTGGAAACACACACACACACACACACACACACACACACACACACACACACACACACACACACTCCTATCTCTTTTATTTGCTGCTTCCTCAGATTTATGAAAACTCTTGTGTTCCCTCAGTTGTTTCTTCTTTATGATGAAAATGCTGATTTTCCCAATCTGTCCTCATATGGCTGAGTGTCAAGATTTCTCACTTCACAATTGTTCCAGTTTCTCAGTGTCACTTTAAAATAGGGTTTTCCAAACTGAACATGGGGCTACAAATATGACCTGGCCACTTTCAAATAGAACAGATCCTTTACTGCCCTCATTTTAAAATAAGGCCTCGGTATATTAGCTTTTTTGATAGTTGTATTTTACTTTTGAGTAATATTGAGTTCTCAGCCACTTAAATTCATATATTTTTCCCCCTCCACAAATAGGTCAACCTGAATGTAGACTTTACATTTGTCTTTATCAAATTTCATATTAAGTTCAATCCACTGGTATAGCCAGCCCATCAAGATATTTTGTATCACATTCAGTTTTCTACTGTAATTCCCTATTACATTCAAATCATTTCAGTATGTGATCATACTCAATATCATCAGTCAAACCAGTAACAAAAATGTCAGTCAGAGCAAAGCTATAAACACCTATTTATTAGAAAGATCTATCTAGGTGGGCATCAAAGCCAAGTACTTAGGGAGTATTATGTAAAAACTAGCTTACATCCAATTCAGAATTTCTTCATGGGGATGTCATGAGGTACCATATGTATTACTGAAGTTCAGACAGTTGTGTCTGTGCATTTCTACTTATCCTGAGGCCAGGGACCATGTCTGTCTGGCTAACAGCTATTTCCCCATTATCTAGCCCAGGGCCTGGTACATAGTAGGCCTTCAATATATACAGTTTTGTTGAAAGAGTAAATGGAACAACCAAGGAACAAATGTTCTGGCTTAAGTTTTAAAAGTGAATTTTTTTTCTACCTATCTCTTTTAAAGAATTACAAACTTTTTCCTTTTCTTGATTTCATAACACTATTTCCTTTTTGTGCTCAAAGTTCAGTCTTTATTTTCTACCTTCTCTTCTGAAGAGAATGAAGCATGGATTCATTAGTGTTGAGGTGGGGGAAGTGGCAGAGAACAAAGACAAGACTTGAAGGATCAGCGGGCTGTAAGGATTAGTGTAAGAAATAAGTAGTTTCTCTATTAATGGAAATCATAGGTTAAACCCAAGACACACGTCCTTTACGAAGCCATCCCTGAGTAACCTCCACCACAGTGATTTCCCCCTTCTTTATTTAACTATAAAATTTTCTCCCCACCAGGCATTATTGAGGTATAATGTTATATATTTAAGATGTATAATTTAAATATATAAAATATATAAAATATATAATATTGTATTTATATAAATGTGTGATGTTTCACACATTGTGAAATGAACACCATAATCAAGTTATCATTTTCTCATTCTATAGAGAGAATACTTAAGATCTACTCTCTTAGTAAATTTAAGTAAAATACATTATTATTAACTCTAGTTACTGTGCTGTACTTTAGATTTCCAGAACTTATTCATCTTGCATAACCAAAACTTTGTACTCTTTGACCAACATCTCATTTCCCCCACCTCTCAGCCCCTGGCTACCACCATTCTACTCTGTCTCTATGAGTGACTGGAATTTTCAGTTGTAACAGTTCAATATCACATAATCCAGTATTTTTAATTATATGGTGATCTTGTTTTATCATTTAGTTTTATAACCAAAATATCATAAAAGCTATAATAATTTATTGATTCCTATGTAATTATAGACAAGGTGCTAAATACTTTACATGCATCATCTTATTTAAATCTTCCAACACGTTTTTTAAAATATGTTTTTATTGATTTCAGAGAGAGGAAGGGAGAGGGAGAGAGAGATAGAAACATCAATGATGAGAGAGAATCATTGATCTGCTGCCTCCCACATGCCCCCCTACTGGGGATCAAGCCTGCAACCAGGGCATGTGCCCTGACAGGGAATTGAACCAGGTTCACAGGTTGAAGCTCACCCACTGAGCCATGCTGGCTCCCAACACTTTTTGATGTATGTTTTTCTGTCTTTCCCATTTTACAAATAAGAAATTGGAGGCTTAGAGAGACATATATATCTTGCTCCATAAATAGTTTGTAAATTCTTTGGGACTATTAGGTTCTTTCAAAATTACATCTTTTTAATAATTTAGAGAGGAGGCTTTGGAAGAACCAAAAAAAGGAGCTCTTTCTTGGCTCCTTTATTTACAAGTTGTGTGAGTTTGGTCAATTAATAAAGCTCTCTGAGTCCTAGTTTTGTTATCTGTAAAAGTGCAAATAATAATGTATATCTTACAGGGTTTGTTGCAAAAAGTACATGAAATATATGCAATGTATTTAACATGGTCTGACATGTGAAGAAAGTGCTCAGTGATTGGTAGTTAATGTTGCTTATTAATTTATGCAATGTTGTGGATGTTATGGTGCCATGAGTTTCCCCAAAATAATAACATAAAAATAAGTAATAATACCATAATAGAAGAGTATATTGTTGGGTGGTGTTAAATATTTTTTATTGAATAAAGGCAGGTCATAAAGGATATACATTACTGAAATAACTAAAACTGCATAATGCTGCCGATGTGAACATTTGGGTTCTTATATTCCATCACCAGTATTTTTTTTTGTTCTGGATGAATGTATTGGGCTACCTTAAAATATATTGCTTTAAAAAACTATATTAATATTTGTTTCACATACCACTGGAGGAATGGACAGTGGTGATTTCAGCTTCAGTGCAATTGGAAAGATGTTGCCATCCTGATGTATGAAATGTTAGCTTACATCATGAGTCATTTTCAAATAGTTCATCTTACTAGTACATTGCACCTAAAGTCAATGAATATTCAAAAGTAACTTAGAATAAGTAGGAACATTGCATTTCTATCAGGTTCTCCTTTTTCCTGGCTTTACTAACACAACCGTTAACAATTGCCTTTTTCTTTTCCTTTCAGGGGACAGAGAAGACAATGATGACAAGAAAGTGGTTGCAGAGATCATGGCAAGATGTTTTATTCCAGCTCTAGTAACAACCACCCCCTGGGAGGGGTTTCGTTTTGTTGGTCATGAGATTCGAATTACTGAAGCCATGGATTGTTATGGTGCTGTCGTTTGGCCATCGGTATAACTTCATGCAAAATTTGCTACATTTCATTTATTTTCAGTCAGTTTTGTTCATTATCATATGCTATTTGGAAAAAGGAAATAGGTTTCATAGTTCTATTTTTTTTACCTCAAACAACAGTAAAATTTAGAAATCTTGAAATTGGGAAACTGCTTCCACCAATTAATTCTATTTTTGACATGTAGGATTAATAAAAAAATGTTTACAACTTGAGTTTTTTGTGGCCCTAAGAGTTTAGAATAGTGAACATTTTATTTCCCATTTAACTGTTCCATTCAAGTTAAACAGTTATAATGAAATGTTTACCAGTGTCAACATGGAGAATATTCTAAAATATTCTCCTTTACTAATTGTCTCATGAAGGGTGCAGACCCTTCACTACTGTTTGCTCCAATCCCACACACTTCTTTGAAATGATTATTATTAGAAATTACTTTTTTTAAAGATAATGAAACCTAAGCAACTGAAATCCATGTTTGTCGTTGTGTCTTTTCTCCTCAACAACCCTCAAAGACTTTTTCTAGCCTAAATGTTGAGCCTTTGGAGGATGTACTTCTGTAGTGATATCTGCGTATTCACACAAATACACACACGTACATGTCAGAGCACTAGTGGGATACTTATTTAATAGAGTTTAATTGTACGTTCTGTTATTACTGGCCAAGCATTATTTTTTCTTTTTTAAACTTTCATAGGCCCTTGTTTTATGCTATTTTCTGGAAACAAATGTAAAGCAGTATAATATGGTTGACAAAAATGTGATTGAAATTGGAGCTGGAACAGGGCTTGTCTCCATTGTGGCAAGTTTACTTGGTAAGTAGGTATTTTTGATTGAATTGGAGTTTGAATAATTTAATGATCAAATATCATTAGCTGCTTTTATTATCCAGTGTACTATGACCTGTACCTATTTTTAACTCCTTAATTGTTTGAATGGGCTTCATCAATTTTAAAGTCACCTTACTGGTTTCTTTCAGACTTTTCTGTGAAGTTGTATTAATTCTTCTCATGGAATGCTAAGTTACAAATGTATTCTAATTTGGAGGTGCACTTAAGCATCCTGGCTGCTAGAGGAGATGCATGACATACTAAGTACAGGCAGAATCTACTGCTGCTGACTCTGTTCTTTATCTAAATTTTAGCCCATTTTAACATTTCCATGTAGCCATTTATTCCTTTTGGGTTTTGAAGTCCTATGCTTTTATGAAAAAGCCCCTGTTAGAATAAAGAAGGAATATTAGAAATCATGTCTGCTTCTAATTTTATGTGTTTGCCCTTGAATTTTTCTCAGTTCATTTTCATTCCTCTTTTGCAATCTCTTGTTCTCTCACCAGAATCTTCTTTTCCAACTAAATGTGTGATGGTCTCTATATATGCCTCAGCCTGCTCCAGTTCAGTCTTTTTGTTGTTGTTTAGATTTCATTGCCATAATTTAGCTGCCTTTTCTGATGTGTGCTACTCAAATCTGTCTTGATTTCCTTTATCTTCAGAAGTACACACCTGCCACTATAAAATCTTGAGAAAAATTCAAGATTTAGCAGTTTATAACTTTCTAAACACTGGGAAAATATAGGACCCTTGAAGCCCGCCCCAAATATATATATATATTTGATTTCTCTGTCCTGATATTGCTTTCCAAAGTCACCATTCCATTTTTGTATGGATAGAGTCTAAGGCACTATTGGATTTGTACCTGAAGGTTCCCTATCTAGGAGCAGAATTTGTGTTTGGGAATTTGTTTCATTAGAAAGAGTTTATCCTTTTGATATGCTTGTATGTCTGGACACAGATGTCAAAAGATTGAAGCTTTCTTTAGTTAGTATTCAAAAAGTGGTGTTCACCTCTCTAGACATAAATATATTGTCAGATATTTTATACTTAATGTAATAGGGGTGTATTCCTTATCTTGGGATTTTAAAAAGATTTGTTGAAAATGATAAAGCCACCCACATTAGAGTTGAAGACTCATATTTCTGCAATTCTACCAATGATGTGCATATTTCTCCTCCCATTTTAATATTTTCCACAAAATACAACTAATGACCAGAGAAACTTGCCATTGGGGCTAAGGAATGGGTTCTAAATTGGTCTGGGCTGAACTAGACTTCTCTTCCAGTTCTGCTTTCTCATTGGTTACCCTAGTCTGTTCTTGTCTGATGATGTGGAGTTGACCAATCCTAGATTTATTTACACATTATTTTCAGGCTCTACTGCTGCTCAAAGTTTACTTTAAGGGCCAAATTTTATTGGTTCTTGGTTTCCACAATTTTGCCCCTTCTGATTTCCTCCTGAAAGTGATCACCACCACCACTATTCATTTTTAACTCAGAATTGGTTTATGTCTGCATCTGAGCATTCTGTTCCGCATCTCTGATCTTTGGCTCTATGAGCACTATATGCTGCTCTGGCTAGGTTTTAAACATCTTTTGATGGGAAGACTCACACTTAAAATGGGGTCAAGCTGAAAACTTGAGCATAAACGTAGATGTCATGATACTGTGAAGGTAATGCCATTTCCTTCCTCCACTTGAGCACTTCCTATTCAGCGATAGGATGCCCAGTGTTGTGTACACTTTTTTGGTCTCACAGGCTCAGAATTCCTTTAGGGAAGAACCTGGTCATTTTTCAACAATGATGTCTGGTAGTTTCAGTGAGGGTACCAAATATTTTTAATTTCCCTTTCTCTTGATTATTTTTTTCATAGCATGTAATAGACAAGTAGAAAATAACAACAACAAAACAAAGAAGAAGCCAGGGAAACAGAAAAATGCAGTGGGGTGCAAAAGTACCATGGGAATCTAAAAATGTTTTTAAGGGGAGACGTGAAGCTGCCCTAGCATCCCCTTTGAAAGGGATTTTTCTGCTGTTTGTATTAACCAGTTTTTTTTCCTGGGACTAGCCGTTGTGCAGAATTGCAGAATGCATGTTGGCTTGATACCTGATTGTTTACTTTATCCCATGAGAGTTACTTTTCCTACTGCCCTTTGCTTCACAGGTGCACATGTGACTGCCACAGATTTACCTGAATTACTTGGAAACCTGCAATATAATATATCCCGAAACACCAAAATGAAATGTAAGCACTTGCCTCAGGTTAAAGAACTCTCCTGGGGCATAGCTTTAGACAAGAACTTCCCCAGGTCTTCTAACAATTTTGATTATATTCTTGCGGCTGATGTTGTCTATGCTCATCCTTTCCTGGAAGAACTCCTCATTACCTTTGACCATCTGTGCAAAGAAACTACCATCATCCTTTGGGTCATGAAATTCAGGTTAGAGAGAGAAAATAAATTTGTAGATAGATTTAAGGAGTTGTTTGACCTGGAAGAGATTTCTAGTTTCCCTAGCCTGAATATTAAGTTGTATAAAGCTATGAAGAAAAATCGAAGGAGTGCATGATATCCTCAAACAAGGACTTGGGAGGCAAAGGCAATTTCTAGTAGATTATGACTTTAAAGAAAACTCTGGATAATCTGATGTAACACTGACTTTCCCAAGGGGGAACACACACACACTTGCTATACCCCAGATAGGGATTTTCCCAGATGTAGCATGTGGGTCTGGAGGATGGCAAAGCCATATTATGTTTTTATTGGTTAGGACAATGTCTGTTTTTAATTATCCCTCCCTCCATAGCATCATTTGTTATTATTGTCATTTTAATAATAGTGCAATTATTGTTATTTTTAATGTATAACTGTAGAATGGTGGTTTTCAATAATGATATATCTAAAATAAACTTATATGATTCTCTCCTTAGAAATAAAGAAATGGACTATAGTGGGATCTGCAAATAATCTGAAAGGGCAGGTACATAATATAATGGCAAATGTTAGATTATTGTGGTTTTCATTAGTGCCAGCCTATAGGCAGTCCATCACCTCTGCTTGGCAGGGTGGGCCTTCAGCACAACCTCTGAAATCAATCAAGCTTGTGTATTTGAGGTTACAGGCAAGGACATTTCACTTTAGTAAATGAAAAATGAATGGAAGCAAACATAAAAAAGTTGGGATTTTGGAGGAATTATTGTCTTATTTTTAAGCCAAGTACAGTTATTTTTCTTTTATCACAGAAACAGAAATAAATATAAAATCTTTGGGTTGAAAATACACATAAAACAACATAGGCTCTAATCTCAAATAACCAGACAAATGGCTGTTTTTAAAGTTTAAAGTTCTGATGAACACATATAGATCTAAATATTTGAAATATTATGTGACTTTTTCCCCCACATGGGCCTTAAGAGATTAGAATAAGTCTGAAGTAATTAAAGTCAGTTCAAGGAGAGCAAAAATTTAGAATTTTGTACCATGTAACAAGAGAATATTGGTTGGTAACTACTCTGCAGTGTCCCTAGGAATGTTTGAGAGGCTATTACTGTGCCCTCAGGGTGATATTTGCTCTCCTAAACCCAGCCCTTTCTGCTTTGCTGGAATTTCTTAGTCCACTCAGGGTTGAGTAGAGCTAAAAATAATATTTCCTAGGACCCTGATCTGTAAGCCAGGATGCAGGTATGCTCCCAGTGGACTTTTTGGTATGTGCAGTTCATAGGGCCCTCTCTCAGTAATTCCCAATATTTACATGGCCCTTGATAGTTTTCATAGCCTAATCATTTAATCCTCACAACCATACTAAGAAGTATAAGTAATATCATTATCCCTACTTCACAGATAAAGAAACTGAGGCTGAGTGGTGAAGCCACTTGCCCCAGGCCACGCAGTTGCAGAGTGGCAGTGATGGGGTGCTCGGGCTCTGGCTTGTTTTGAGTCCAGAGCATGTGCTCTTTACCATTGTATTTACTGCCTTTGTGTATTCAAAACAGTAATTTTTACTCTTTTTTTAAATGAGTAAAGTCATTTCTTCAAAATGAAATCAATATCCAGCAAGGTAAGTAAATATATTAGGAGATGATTAGAACTGCTCCTCAAGTCTTTTCCTCTTTTGTTGCCTTAAGTGGATGGTCAGAGTAGGCCTGTTTGGAAGGTGACATTTAAGCAAAGCTGGAAGTTGGTAAAAAAAAGTAGCAGTGCAGATATCTGGAGAAGTGTGTTCCAGGCAGAAGGATCAGCACGCAAGGACTGTAAGGCAGGAACATGCCAGTCCTCTAGAAGAAGCATCAAAGACACTGTGCTTGGAGCAGAGTGAGCCAGGGAGACTGGTAAGATGATGCCTCAGAGAAGCTGTAGGAGGGCTCAATTGTGTCAGATCTTTGTTGCAATCTGGGTTCTCTGGAAGCAGACCCAGAGGTAGAATTTGGAGTGCAGGTCATTTATTAGAGACTGCCTTTGGGATCAAGGCCTGTGGAAAAGAGCGGAACCAAGTAGGACAAAAGTAGAGGTCAAGCTGCAATTCAGGCCCAACTACAGCCACAGCTGACACCCACATGGAGTGCTGGACCAAGAGTGGCCTTCCAGAGGTGTCCCAGGTTGAGTTGAGCTACCTGGGCCTTGATAGTCCTATGTCATTCAGCCATTGGCTGCCCTGAGATGGCTCTGTGACTTTGGGTGAGGTGACTCTCTTCAGTGGAGGCAACTGCTGAAGATGTTGACAGCTGCAGGCCATCTGCCAGCAGCACTTCTAGCAGTGAGGTAATAAGTCATTCTGCAGGGGATCTGGGCAGCACATCACAGTGTCCACCACAACCTTTAAAGTCATTGAAAGAACTTTGGCTTTTCTTCTGGTGCCAAAGGAATCACTGCATGCTTTAGAGATGAGGAGTGAAACCATGTCACTATATATGAGGACCACTCTGACTGATGTTTCAAGAATACTTATGAAAGGGCAAAGGGACCTGTTAGGAGGCTGTGGCAGCCTTCCAGGCAAAAGAGGATGACAGTCTGCAGCAGGGAATGTGCCATGGAAGTGGTGAAAAGTGGTCGGTTTTAGATGCGTTTGGAAGTTAGAGCCAATAGAACTTCCCATCATATTGAATGTGAGTATAACAAGAGAGAGGAGCCAAGGCTGACTCTGAAGAGTTTGGTCCTGAGCTACTGGACATCAAGCTAGAGACATCAGCTTAGAGAGAGTTTGTAAAGCTCATTCAGGGAGCAAGAATGAATACAGGACAATACTTTGGTGAAGGCCAAGGGAGGGGAAGGAGAGGGAGATACAACAATAATGTCAACATTAAAATTTTTAATTTTTTTTTTAAAGAGTGAATGCACAGAAGTGAAAAGCCAGGACTGAGCCCAGAGATTGGCCAGCATTCAGAAATCAGACATAGCTGTATTCGAGATTTTTTTCAAGGTGCTACTCCAAGCCACCCCAAAAATGTTGTATTAGTATCTATTAACTCTGAAATATGTATTTTCTACCACAGTGATTTTTGAACTGGTCAGCAGAGTTCCAAGATTCCTCAGAGCTGCCCCAAAGGCTTCCAGGAAGATTTTAGGTGTAGCAGCAGGAATCTTGGGATAGCAAGTGAAAAAAATGGCTCCTCCTAAAAATGTCTGCATATCACTACTAAGCTATTTTTAGGTTGAATAAAATTATCCTTACTCCAAAGACTATGTTAGGACCAAACTGACCTTATGGTTCATAATAGTTCCTCTTTCTCTAAGTGTCAATCTTTCAAACACAGTGTTCAATATCCATTGTTTTATTCTGTTTATAGCATTCATTTGCAAATTTTAACAACCACGCACACACACATTGTGCCCCTCCTGTTTCACTTCATTCTGGGTGCTTGTCTACTTTTATCTTTTTGCTGTAGTTTCTCCACACTTTTCTATATTCAATTTTACAATAATTTAATTTTAAAAGATATAATTTGAGTAGGCTTTTTCCATCTTGTTGTTTTTCTTTTATGGCTATGAATCGATTTGTCAACTTTAATCCAAGAGAGTTAGTTATACGGTGAACTTTGCCTTTATCTGACTTTTTGGGGAGTAATTAAACTATGTTACTGAAAAACCTCAATTCAATTCTTACAGTAACTTTCTGGGTTTTTTAAAAGAATAAGTATACTGATTATCAAGGTTTAAATAGAGGTTATCACAGTATAATTATTGCTCTAGATAAGACATAGTATCTTGTTGGTGATACTCAGCAGCTTAAAATTTACATATCATGTACATGTAACATCCAGTTTTTGTACTTCAGATTGTATCAACTGACTTTAGGAAACTAAGTACTGTCTTAGAACTAAATTCTTCTGTCTTAGAATTTACTGACATATCCTCTATTTTATTGGTACCAATTTAAAAAAAATCTTTATTGATTTCAGAGTGAGGAAAGGAGAGGGAGAGAGAGAGAGAAACATCAATGATGAGAGAGAGTCATTGATCGGCTGCCTCCTGCACACCCCCGACTGGGGATCGAGTCCGCCACCCGGGCATGTGCCCTGAAAGGGAATCAAACAGCGATCTCTTGGATCCTAGGCCGACACTCAACCGCTGAGCCACACCCGGCCGGCTATTGGTACCAACTTTGTCTACCAGAATTTTTAAAACTTGGTTTTCATTTTTATTTATATTTTATTCTCTTTTTTGGATAAAGAATTGTGGCATTGGGTAGCTTCCTGACAGATTTGGAGCCAATAATATAAACTTATTGTGAAAGAAAAAAATGAGGAAGCGTAATAGAATGGAAAGTTCCATTTTTTTCTTTAAATCCTTAGTTTCTAGGAGCTTGGTTTTCTCTGTGAATGCCTGGTCTTTATAGACAGAGACTATGTCCAACTTGTTTTAATCCTTTGGAAATAAAACATGTCCACTGAGTAGGATTTTGATATACTAATTTTGAAGACAAGCTGGGACCTTGGGTGCTAGAAATAAAAGATCTAGTCAACCTTAGGTAGATCACCTAAGTAATATAACTGATAAGCTTAGGAGAAAATTAATATACTGTACCTCTTTGTTCGACTCCATTTTAACTTAGTTTCCATGGAAATCTGCATGTGGAAAAAAGTAAAAATGGTCAAATATTGCATTTTCCCAACCAAATTGTATTATAAGGTAATAATAAAAAACAAAATTGGGAATGGAGCAGGAAAATACTTTTGCAAAATGTAGGGAGAGTTGGCAAAGCAAAAAACCATAGACATTTGTGAGTGTGTTTGTGTGTGGAACTCATTCTTTTTTTAAATCCTCACCTGAGAATATTTTTTCCATTGCTTTTCAGAGAGAGTGAAAGAGAGAGAGAAGGAGAGAGAGAAAGAGAGGGAGGGAGGGAGAGAGAGAGACATCTCACATTAATTGGTTGCATGCATGCATGGTCAGGGATTGAGCCTGCAACCGAGGTATGTGCCCTTAGCCAGAATCAAACCAAGACATACTAGGGCTGGAACTCATTCTTTGTATCTTCTTTATGAAGCCAGGAAACAGTTCACAAATGATTTCCACATCCAGGTTTTGGCATTTTTGAGTTTCTCATGTGAAATTAAGTCTAGAATATTGACTTGCAAGCTCAATTTCAATATTTGCTCTGCTTCCAAGTTCCACACAAGATCGAAGGTAGTGTTCTGTATAATTATGTGGTCATATTAACGGGACAGTTCTGTCTTTGGTGGCTTAGTTAGCATCAATTAATTCTGTAGTCATATTAACTCCTTTTATTAAGAATTTCTGAGCTGGATGTTAGTGTTTACTCAGATTGTGTATAGCTGTCCAGTATTTAGATTGCTGGGCACACACCACTGACTGCCTATTCTATTGAGCTAACCTTTGGCCTCTTTCATGAACAGTGCTTTTATTGGCAAAGCTCAAACACCGGAGTTTTTCCTTTCAATTTCTTTGTTTCTGAGGCAATTGTCTTTCCTTGAAATCGAATCA